TATGCAATGATGCCGAATGCAGGAAGATCACAGACCAGTGGGTGGGAAGTCTTGTGGATCCAGTAGCAGTAGAGGCATCTCGGCGCTGACAGGAGTCTCCGCATGGCTCCTTCAGCTCCAGGGGTTTGGTTCCAGCAGCCTCTCTCCATGTGTCTTCTCCACAGGGATGTCTCGCTGGGAATGAGCAGAGAGAGTGTGTCTCCCACCTCCAAGGAGGAAAACAGGAGTACCCAGAATCCTCTGGAGAAGGCCATGCCCCCACATTGACTATGATCTGATTGACAGAATAACCTCCACCCTTGCACTCTTAACCTTCAGATTGACACCAGATTATGTAATTACCACAGTTGTCTTGTCATACTTTATTCCTTAAAAGAATCTAGCTCACCCTCAAGGGGAAGAGGAGAAATTGAATACCTTCTGATGGGAGTTGTAGCTACAAAATTAGTTCGAATTCTGTAAGGAATTCTCGATTTGTGTATCAGTATGAGCTCACGTATATTGATTTAATAATCTGAGTTACAACCATGCTCTGTGTTTTTGCTGCTGTTGTTCAAATACAACTTTGACAGCTAGGTCTCTTTCAGGTTGGCTCCTTTGTCCTTTTGCCATGCCTCCGTCCTTTAGTTTTTGAGTATTTCCTTGCTTTGGGGCACTACAAAATGCTCCAGGTTTAGCTTGTATTTTCCTGGCCCAACCCTAGAATGAACCTTCTCTCCAAAGAACCCTTATTCCTTTTATTGGAAAATAGTATCTTTTATTATTTCTTACAAGTTATCTGTAGATACTTTCATGTTTTCCAAATTGATAACCATATTAGCTATAAATGATAACAATTTGGTTATGTTTTCTTTTTCTTTTCATTTTTTATGCCTTTAGTTTTCTCATCTAAGACAGCGAGGATCTCCAATAGTGTTGAATAGAAAAGGTGATAATGGGCATCTTTTGTCTTGTTGCATATTTTACAGGAAGTTGCACTAAGTGTTCCTTGTTAAGGAGAAAGACGAGGCTTTCTGCTCCTGTCAAGAGCGTTCCTATAAAGAGTTACAGTCTCTATCCCACCTTACAGAATCGCTGGTGGTCCGAATTGACATGATGGCAGTGAGTTTAGTGGGTTAAGAATATTTGCTGCATGATAAATAATAAAAAATCAGAAAAAAATAAGTAAAATGTAATAAAAGAAGGTAATTCTGGAAATACTCTTGTTTCAAGAGCCAATATTTATGAGATGGAATTATTTTCCATTATGAAAGATTAAATTGCTAAATTGACATCAAATGCCTATATTGCTAATATCAGCTTTGTATTAATTAGCTTTTGTGATGTAGAAAGATTGGGGATGAAGGAAAGCGTTCTTTAATTTGGGGAAGTAAACCATTAATCCTCTCTTCACTTATTTAAAATTCTTACGGCAGTATTTGGGGCACCAGTTACTCAGGTCTGTGTTGAGAGAGTTTTCTAAAGTTCAAAGTTGAGCTTATAAGACACCAGGGATAGCTTAACTGAAAAACAATACTAGCGAATAGTCTTTTAGTTGCATTTAATTATGTTTGATGTTTCCTGAAATAACTGAATAAAGGCGTATGCCCTATATCTATATTTGTAATAAAATATTTTACATAATTTTGCAGGGGAAAAAAGCATATTTGCTGTAGCTTTTTACAGATTTTACCACATTAAGCAAATTTTATACTTTTCATCTATGCTAAGAAGTTTTATGTTTGTTCATATTACTTTGCTTTGTTTTTAAGCATGAAAGGATGTTGAAGTTTCTAAATCAAATGCTCTTTTAATTTCATAGGATGCTTATATGTTTTCTTTCACTAACTTGGTAATGTGATAAATGACATTTATAGGTGTTTTTCATGTTGAACCACCTTTGCATTTCCAGTATAAATACAATTTGGCCATGATCTTTTCATCTTTACATAGTTCTGGATTTGGTTCAAGGAGCACAGTGGTTAAGATTCAGCTGATAATGGAAAGGCTGGGAATTCAAGCCCATTAACCACTCAAGCAGAGAAACATGGCAGTCTGCTTTCATAGAGATTATAGCCTTGGGAACCCTATGGGGAAGTTCTGTGCTCTCCTACAGGGTTGCTATATGTTGGCATCAACTTAATGGCAATGGGATTTTGTTTTGTTTTGCCAATATTTTGACAGAATTTTTGTGTCTATGTCCATGAGTGACATTGGCCTCTAATTTTCCTTTTTCGTGATGTTCTTATTTGCTTTTGACTTCAGAGTCTACTGGTATAAAAGGAGTCAAGAGGTTTCCCTCTTTTACAAGTCTCTGGAAGATGACAAATGCCGTTGGGATGACCTAGTCTTTGAAAGTTTGATAGAACTCTTCCGTAAAACTGTTTGTTTTTATATCCTTTTAAACTCGTATTACATTTCTAAATAAAATATTTTCTAGTGCCTAAATAAGATACTTGAAATTTAACATATTGTTTTATATCAGGTTTTATGCATGAAATAGCCACACACAAATCATCAAGACTTTTTTTTAATAATTAAAAAAAA